TCCTATATTGAGGTGTCAAACATTATGTAAGAGTGTCATTTCTGGAAAGGACTTTTAGTGTTTTTAGGGTAATTTGTTTTCTCGAATATTCTGGGGTTTTCTTAAGTTTTGGAAATAAAATTGTATTCTGGATATTTTTTTTTTATTTTGTGTTTAATAATTTATCATTATAATTAAACCAAAATGGCAAAGTGTGTGCATATATATATATATATATATATATAATATATAATATATATATATATATATATATATATATATATATATATATATATATTTTTTTTTTTTTTTAACCAATGCATCAAGAATAGGGCTTCAAAGTGGTCAGGAAGAAGAAAAAAAAGCTAAAATAGGTGAAGTATTTAAAATCTTTCAGATGAATGAAGTTATAACAGTAAAATAAATTTTATATCTATATATTTATAAATTTTAATGTTTCCTGTTGATATGGGGCTTAGATAAGAGAAAAATTGTTTGCCCCCCAAAAAAAGGCTTAGGATTATGCTTGAAAAGATTGTAGACAAAATGATTCTGTCTGTAAAAAGAACCATCATTTATTATAACATGTATCACCACATTTCAGACAAGTACATCTGGTTTTACTTTTATCATGTTCACTGCTAATGCAATTCCTTTTGTTGCTGCCTACACCTGATTGTATAACCATGCTTAATGGTCATCTGCTTATATGCACTTCAGCCCAAAACTAGTGTGGGGCTGAAAGGTTCTTGGTATTTGTTGGTTCTTGAATTTTCATATTGATTCTAATAAGAGCTTTCTTTGTTTCCTATTTCTGTTTTCATAATCAACTTTCAAAATTTGGAGAATTATCCACATTCCTTGGGAATAGTTACAACTCCCACTGGCTTCACTTCACATCTCACACCACCACTCTGTACAGGCAGTGCCAAATTCTCTTTCTTTTTCCTACTCTCCTAGCATTCAACCTCAGTCCACTTCCCACAGCATACATAACTGTCTCTGTGATAAATTTAATTTTTAAAGCGTGTAGGCAGAAGAGTGGATGACAGGAACTTGTTTTCATAACTCCAGTCTTAATCATACAGTACATTGTTCTCTTAACTTTCTGAGCAAGGGAAGGAAATTATTTCCCAATTTATTTTTGTCAATTAAATATATTTGTTTACATAAATTCTCAAAGAGTTTCCATCCCTGTGTTGGTTGCTGTCTCATAAAAAACTTAGGCCAGATCACCTGCCTCTTATGACTGATCAAATTTCATAATCTTAACCTTTGCAGCATATTCATTCTCATTTTTCAGTTCATTTTCTCTAACAAAAACATAATTCTTGTCTACTTTTTTGTTTGCTAGTTACATGTTTTCCTAATTTCTCAAGAAAGAGAGAGAATTTTTCTCCAGATCTGTTTTATTCTGCATGCCAAACAAGAAAAATAAACTTCAGGAGAGAAGAAATCCAGACATTCCCATTTTCACAAAGGAAAATGTCTCCACTCTTTCTATCTTCCAGCCAATACTCCATTTTGGGCCTAACCCTTTTCTGCTCAGAATCAATGTTTAACCACCTTACAACCTCAGTGACACATGACCTTGGATAATAATGCCATCAATGTTTTTGACCATTACCAATTAGAAATTTGTATATAAGACTAATAATCATTTATTTTGGTAAATAAATTCAATTTCTTAATATGTTCACTGCTGCCTTGGATATTTGAACCCTTACATAATGTAATTTAAACTTTTGGTAAAAATTACCATTAGAAATTATTTTATCTTATGACAAGTATTGTTTTCTCCATCGTAATATAGCTTGCCTGTGTCTTTTCTATAAATACTTTCATGTTAAGTGTTCTTATGAACTTTCCTCTTTGTTTACTTTTTTTGTATATAAATTGTATTCATTGTAAATATTCATTGGGGTTTCATTTTTTAAATGTTGTTGTTTCTATCCCCCACCCACAACCTCCAGACAAATTATACATATGAGAACTAGTTACGGCTACATAGACTTTGAGGTATTATGGTGGCTGTAGTAAGAATGGTAAGAATATATTGTTTTAGTGTGAGGAATACTGTGGTAGGGCCCATGATTTTCTGTTTCAAATTTTCCTTGATTCGGTTTCCACTTTCAGTAAATTCCGTTTCTTTCCGTTATTACTTTTGGGAAATTTCATTTTTTCTGTTTTATAGTATTTTATGAGAAAATTGCAATACAATATGATATAATTATTAAAACAAAAACATAATTCAAAGTTTTATTGCATATAAAGAAATAACAAATATCTACAAATCTTTTTTTAATGTTAAAATCCAAGTTCAAAAATAAATATGTAAAAAAAAAAAAAATGTAACATGACTAGACAATAAAACAATGGAATGTTACAGTGTATAAGTATTCTTGAGGTAAAACTTTTAATCAGAGCATCCTTCTTTAAAAAAACATTCAAATTGTTTGTATTTTCTAAGTAAAAGGATTTAGATTGATTTATAATTATTGATTCATAATATAAAAATCACATTTAAAGTATCAAGAGCAAATAACTTGAATCTCAATAATAAATATCTGAATAAAGTCAAATATTTTGACTAAAATTTTACAAAATAGTAATTAATCATAATAACTGAATCTTTGTAATAAAATATCGAAAACAAATTAGACATATTAATTCAAAATTTAAATAAAACAACTTATCCTAAGTTGAAATACTGCTCAAATTTAAAATTGCTAATTTCTTAATTTGGGAAATATTTAATCTTCAAATCTCTTCTCTAAATCTCCATTGTAATACAACATTGTGAGTTGCTTGGTGTAAAACTTTCACATTGTTTGAGAAAATGAACATTCAGCATCTATGCTGGTAACAGGCATCCATATGACCTTATTGGCAATCTGTTCCAGAAGAAGAAATTTGCTCTTATTTGCATTCCAGAATTGAAATTTCTTTTACAATGGTGAAGCATTGAAGATGATGCAATTATTAATCTGGGAGAATCACTGTGTAATGGTAAGTGTCAGAGTAGACAACCCAGTCAAGCATAGAATGTTGTTTTTTTGAAAAAAAAAAATGTTTTCTTTATTTCTAAATTGTATGGTAGGCATGTGATAGAATTTACTTTTCTTTCGTATTCAAAAAAGGTTACAAGTTGTTTAGAATCTTCTCCTTGTAAATTATGCTGTTCGTTTCACTTGAGTACACCCTTTGTCTGTTTGTAACCTTCTTTAAGGTTGCAACAAAGGATAATGAGAAAGTAGATGAATTAGTAAAAAAAGAAAAATTGGAGATTATTACAACCTGGTGAAATTGCAAAAATCCTTGTTTTAGCACAGATACCAGGCCATGTTGGCATAAAGAGTAATGAGGAAGTAGATGAACTAGAAAAAAAAAAAAATCCCGTAACATGGAAATAACTAATATAAAAATTGTGTGTATAGATTTTAAAAAAGTCAAATGGCTAACATAAGACATTCCCAGAAAAGAAATTTTATGTATATCAGCCAAGTGTCAAATAGGAAAGCATATAACTATTAAAAAAAAAAAAAAGGATGAAAAGAAGACGCTGTGCTGGACATATGCAATTAAAAGAAGACGCTGTGCTGGACATATGCAATTAACTCCTGTACACTGAAGATGTACCCCAATGCATCCTTTGCCATTCTAGATTGATGATTAAGCCCATTCTGATTGAATGTAAAAGCTCAACTTAATTATAGTAAATGCTACAATGTCGCAAATATCTGGCTAGATAATAGGATTTCTAAAAGAAATAAGAATTTTTAAATTTCTTTAAAAATTGTTTATGTATGGGTATATAAGGAGTTCTTTAAATGGTTAAAATTGACTGATTTAAACATTCTATTTAAAATGAATTGTAGCTACCAAACTGAGTTAACTATTGGTAAAAAAAAAAATGATAAAAAAAAAATAGCTGAAATTTAATGAAAATAGTTTTGTCAGAATCTTCATTTTTGGTCTCTTTGGTGCCAGTGGTTGACCATAAATTAGTATGTGAAATTTTAGCTGCTTTTCATGGTACAAAACACATTTGGAAATTCTTGCAATAATCAGTTAATTGTCGGATTTCAATGTAACTTTCACATAATCACGAATGAAGGAAAATATTTTTGAAATGCTTCTTTTTCAGAAAATCTCTCTCTCTCTATATCTATATATATATATATATATATATATATATATATATATATATATACACACATACATGTTATGCCCCTGTTATTTCATTTTATCTTAATTTTCTCATTCAGTTAAAAAGGGCATACTCTGATGAAAAAGATTTTTCATTTTTTATATTTCTTTTTAAATCTACAGCCCCTGTAGTGGTACCTAGCTTAATCAGGTAATTTTCCTCAATGTTTCAGAAAACTATATTTTCTTTTTGAAATGTTGCCGTTAAACAATCCATTTTCCTTCCATTTCCACTTCTGAGTGCTGCACATTCCCCACTTTTTGAGCATTGACCCCCACCCTCACCTTTCCTCATTTGAGCATTGCCTTTTCTCACCTTCCTCATCATCTTTCCTCCTTTGGCCATTGGGATACTGTGACTTTTCCATTCCCCTTTCAGTGTGACATTTCTTTCATTTTATGTCTGTTGCTTATTAGTTTTTTTTTGTTTTTTTATTTTTTTATATTTTTATTTTTTACCCTCTTTTTTTGGTACTTTTTTTGTACTTTTTTTTTTGTTTGTTTACTACTTTTTTTGTTTTATTTCTAACCAATCACTTCTTGCCATTTTTTAACAAATGGCATTGGTTTGACTGGATTTGTTTGAGTTGATGCTTATGTTTTTTGTAGTGGCAAAAAAGTAAAGTTAAAACATCTACTGTGACTTTTATAACTTTTTATATTTGTCTCTGTTTTCTATGATTTTTTTTTTTTTTTTTTTTTTTTCTTTGTCTTTTTTATATTTCTTTACACCTTTTCAATTTATTAACAACACAAACTTTTACATTTGTCCTCTGTTGAGTCTTTTTTATTTTCCTCCACCTTCCTGTCAGGTATCAGCACGAACTTCCTGTGGCAATTCAAGAGAGAAAAATTAAGTGCATCACTCATGCAGAATTGTGCAAACTGATGAAATGGAAGTTGATGGTAAGAATTTCTGCAAACTTTTTCCTTTTCGTAAGGCTGTTAACCTTTTGAAATGTCTCTAGACTCTCTCAACGTACAGTGTTTGTTTTAAAGTGAGACGTACAATTTGTCACCAAGTCACATAGATTATCTTGAATATATGTCACCAAGGCTTCAGGCTAACTTTTCCTACCATTGTACTCAAACCATCCTGAAAAAAAATATTAATCTGTCCTAAAATTAATTTTTCTTTTTCTTTAATTTTATCCTTAAAAGCATTAAAAACATCATTTAAAGTGTTTAAGAAATATTTTGGCAAGCATTAATTTTCATGCATTCGAAACAAACCTGTATGTCAGAGTATTTCAAACTTTTTTCTGACCCACAGCAAGAACCATTTCTTGCATTGCAACCCGTGATACTTATGTTTTATAAATCAAAGGCAAAATCTGTTTACTAGGTTCATTTATTTAGCATCGACAATATATATATGTATATTTCTTATAATCTGCACATATTGGAATTGCATGTATATATTTACATTATCTATTTGTATGAATATGAAAAAAAAAATGTATTTTTGTTTTCTGCTCAGAGGGGTAAATTCCGTCCCAAACTGACTGAAATGGTGGAGAGCAACAAACCTCAAAGTGTACTTGATGCCAGTCAGTCAGCATTTGATCTGTTACCAGATGTAGAGCAGGCTCTGAAAGCCTTGACAGTTCTTAAAGCTGTAGGACCAGCCACTGCTTCAGGTATTTTTCTGTTCTGTTCTCCTCTGTTTTCTCTTGAATTTTGTTACCTTGAAATGATTCTTTCACATGACTTTCTTTGGCTTTTGATATTTTTGTAATGATGATTCTGTTGCTATACCTATCTTCATCTTGCTGATATTTATCTGATTTATTTGATAAGAACAATTTCTTCTCTAAATCTCTAGTTTTAAAAACTTTTCTCTTTTTGTTTAAAAGAATTTTATTTTTGCCTGAGAAAAAAAATTTTGTATTTTTTGTTTGTTTTTTCTTGTTTTGTGTTTTTGTTTTTTCTTGTTTTGTGTTTTTGTTTTTTCTTGTTTTGTGTTTTTGTTTTTTCTTGTTTTGTGTTTTTGTTTTTTCTTGTTTTGTGTTTTTGTTTTTTCTTGTTTTGTGTTTTTGTTTTTTCTTGTTTTGTTTTTTTGTTTTTTCTTGTTTTTTGTTTTTTCTTGTTTTTTGTTTTTTCTTGTTTTTTGTTTTTTCTTGTTTTTTGTTTTTTCTTGTTTTTTGTTTTTGTGCGGTTTTTTGTTTTTTCTTTTTTGTTTTTTCTTGTTTTTTGTTTTTGTGCGGTTTTTTTTTTTTGTTTTGTGCAGTGAAATTCTATTTGATTTGTGGAGGAAATTTTTATTGGCAATTTCTTTTGTAAAAAAAAAATCTTTTTCGATTTGAATTTGTTGAAACATTATCAAACATTGAGGTGAATTTTGCCCTTTTTCTTTTAACTTAATTTCGTTTTATTGCACTTTTATTCTGTCTGTCAATCTACAGCAGTCGGTAGATTGCAGAATCAAAAATATAAAAAGCAAATAAACAGATGAAAAAGAATAATAATTTTGCCGCTAGTAAGTCTTCTTGGAATCCTGTCTCATCAAGACATGGGTTCTTAACTGCTTCCTTTAAAAACTTTTAGTAATATTTCTCATTTTATTACATCTCCTATTCTTTATTTTGCTAACCATTCACATAATCTTGTCATATAGTTGGCCTGCTCCCTTTTCTTGTCCCTCTCTCTTGTGAATGTCAAATTGTTTATCCACTCTCTTTCTAATTTTACATGTGTGTCGTGTCATTTTTGTTTCCATCTTCCTTAAGACTTCTTAGTTGTTTACATGTATCATTTAGCACTTCTTCTGTAGAACTGCATTTCTGTTGCTTCAAGTCTCCTCTTTATCTGTGAGGAAATTGTCCAGCATTCTCTGCCATGTAATATTAATATTACATAGCAGTTCAGCATGCTTTTCATTGTTTCTGTTGCCTCAAATCTTCTCTTCATCTGTGAGAAAATTGTTCAGCATCCACTGCCATATAGGGGTATTGATATTACATAATTTTTTTTTTTTTCTCTAACAAAATTTATCTACTTAATATTTTGTTTAGTTTTGGAAGGCATCTTGCTATTCCAATGTGACTTCTGATCTCAGCGTCACATTTTCTATCCTCTTGTTAAAACACTTCCCAAGATTTTCTTGTTGTTTTCTTCTGGATAATTTGAAAAGGTTTTGTGAGAAGGCTTGCATATATTTTTGTGACTTAGATTTGACTTTCAAATTGGACAAGACAAAACATCTGAGTGGCGCATGCTATATCATGTAGCAATACAAATGTTACATTAGCCATATTAATGCTGTTGTACATCACTTGAGTAAATATTAGTTAAATGAACTCACTATTACTATTATTTCATTGCTAGTTTGATTCCATCTTATTGTTGCTTTTTATCCCAACGCTCTGGCTCAATATACTCATCATTATTACTATTATTTTATTACTAGTTTTCTTCCATCTTATTGTTGCTTTTTATCCCTATCCTCTGGCTCTATACACTCTTCATTATTACTATTATTTTATTACTAGTTTTATTCCATCTTATTATTGTTGCTTTTTATCCCAGCACTTGGTTATCGTAACAGGTGTAGTGAGTGATGAACAACTGGTGAACGTTGTCACAAAACATGGCACAATAAATATATATATATATATATATATATATATAAATAATATGTAATGTATGTATTACAATGAATCCTTTATACCAAAAGTAAATTAGTAAAGTTAATGATATAAAAAGCGAAATCTCTTCGTTAACTAAATTTTAAAGATGCATTAGCCTACTAATCACTCAATGACTTATGATCCTTGTTTTTTAAAATTATAAACTTTATTAGATCTTCCTTAAATATACAAGTACTTTCGACATTTCCTCTGGTCATCATCAGGCATGGAAACTATTTTGTTTTTGGTGAAATTCAGGTCGCATTTGAGATGAAATATATTGCAAATCGAAATTTTTTTTTTTTTTAAATGTGTTATTAATAACAAACTATATATATATATATATATATATATATATATATATATATATATATACAATTGGAATTAAGATACCTTTAGTACACTACAAACTGATACCATAAACAGTTTGAAAAATTAAAATTCATAGGTGAAAATGGTCATTTACTAAAGGTATCTTAATTCCAATTGTAAAGAAAATTTGCTCTGTTTAATGAAAATAAACATTGAGTGCTCTTTTGTGAGTCAGTTTTAACAGATTTCAAATTCTATATTGTGTTAATAGGACCTGCCTGGATTATACCAACTGATTACTATATATATATATATATATATATATATAGCATTTTTATTGTATGTAAATCATTTTGGCTTGGTCATTTAAAAAATAGCTCACAAGCCAAAAAAGTGTAGGCACCACTCAATACCATCAATACACTCCTCATCATTGCTCTTATTTTTGTAGTTCTCATTACCATTTGGAAACAAGTAATAAAAAAAATAATTTGTGGCAAAATTTGAACTTGCTTCTGTTATCTCTTCTTTAAGCCTTCCCCATCCCCCTCACTCCCCCCAAATATACCCCCCCCCAATCATTATAGCTGTCCAGTAGCATAAATGTTTATCGAAGGTGGTTTATTCATTCCTGTGTTGATCAGAAAGCATATGATGTTATCAAGTCCTGAAATTAGAAATACAATGTTGACATTGTGCTGTTTGATTTAGTTAGGCATTCTGGTCTCCACCTCTATATAATAATTTGCAGTAGGTGGGCAACTCGAGGTGGTGTAATGGTTAGCAAGCTAGTCTTGCTAGAACAGTTACCACTGAGTAGTGAGTTCAATTCTCACTGGGTGCCCAATATTTTTGGCCTTGTGCCACATCTAAGCTATTCTTAGAAAATCACTGTATAATACTTCCATATTTGCAATAGGTTTGAGAATGATTTAAAAAAAAAATCTACCATTGGAGAAATAAAACTGTCATGATTCCACTCCTGAAATCAACCAAGATGAGGATAGTTGCCCTCAGATTTTTTCATAGCGTATAATTCTTTTCTTTTTATGTACCATGTCCTTTCATGATGTAGATGATCATGGCTCTCCACCTCCCTCTATCCCTTGCAGCTCTCAGCAAGCTCCTTCCCTCTGCTTCCTCCCCCAGATCACATTCTGCCATCCACTTGCTTAAGTCCGCCAGGCATGTCACGCGTTGTTTTCTCTTGTCTCTCTTTCTCTCTATTCGACCTGTGAGTATCAGATTCTCCAGGCAATCCTTCCTCATTACGTGTTCCAGGAACTTTAGCTGCTTCTTCTTGATGTTAAACATGATCCTCCTCCTTGTTTGCATTCTCTCTAAGACCTCATCGTTGCTCACACGCTTGGTTGGTGATATCCTTAGTATCCTCCTGTAGAACCACGTCTTCATTGCCTTGAGTCTTTTCATCTTTAGGGAAATCCTCCAACATTTGCTGTCATAAAGAAGGACAGATGTCACGTAACAGTTCAGTATTCTTTTCTTTTCTTACCAAAGAAATCCTCCTGTTTCACAATACTCTACCCAGCTTTTGGAATGCATCCTTGACCATCCCAATATGTCTACGGATCTCAGTGTTGCACTTACCATCGTCTGTCAAAATGCTTTCCAGATATTTAAACTTCTGCATCTGTTTGATTCTAGTGTCCTCGACCTGCAAATCGCATTTTGGGCTCATCCTTTTACTGATGACCATGCATTCTGTCTTGTAGTTTATGCTTAGTCCTTTCTTCTCACTCTCCATTGCTATCTTCTGTAGGAGATTTTGTAATTTCTTTTCTGTGTCTGCTATCAGTACCGTGTCATCTGCATATGTTATGTTGTTAAAATTGTGGCCACCACTTTAGCAGTGGTGGCCACAATTTTAACAACATAACATATGCAGATGATGCATCCTTGCTTTACACTCCGTTTTATTTTTGTATATTCATTGAACTTGTTCTCCATGTGTATGCATGCTCTTTGCTGCCAGTATAGGTTCTTGATTATTTTGATATCTTTCCTGAATATATCAAGCTTTCTAAGCAGTTCCAGCAGATCCTTGTGGCGTACTTTGTCGAAGGCCTTTGTGTAGTCTATGAATCATAGGTACACATACTTCTGCATCTGGATCGCTCTTTCTGATAACATTCTGAACATGAATATGTGTACTTGTTCTGGTGTCTTTAATGAACTTGCACTGTTCTTGTCCTATCTTTGGCCTGATTCTGCTGTGTGCTCTATTCATCAGAATATGGATGATGTTTTGTCACGTGGCTCATTAGACATTTGTTGGTGGAGTATGCATTTGTTTGCAATGAGTTTCTTAGGCATAGCTATGAAGATAGATCTGCTGATGTTATGGATCTAAAAAGGTTGCATGAATATTTAAAATTGTGCTGTAAATAAAATATGCAATATCCACAAACATAAATTACAAGAAATGGCCAAATGGTAACGATATTCAATCAAGACAAAAAATACATGTTTGAAACAACAGATTAAATTTTATATACACAATTTACAATTTCTTTGTAGTGCAAAAGTATATTTTAGAGAGAAAGTTCTTTGCTGTTTTGTAAATGTCCAATGTCTAAAAAGTTGTCTGCCTTTGATTAAAAAGGTTGAATTTAACTTACACAAAATATTTTTCTATGAAAGATATTGAGTGAAAGAGTTTGTTGTGAAAATTTTTCTAATCTCTCATAAAGGAAGTTTATTTCTTTGACGTCACATAATTCCCGTGTATATCTTTTACGTGTGTGGGTCTCAAATGTGACGAAAATTCGTTTACTGTTTCTATTTATAGTTTTCTTAATGAAATCGCCTCCAATGGGGCTTGGTGGCTGTTGCGAATTTTTCTGAGAAATGTGTGGGCGAATGTTGTATTTTTTTTTATTTTTTAGCCAATAGGATTTCTTAGCCAATAGGATTTCTTGAAACATTTAAATTAGAGATTAATTTGAGAAATTTTTTTTTTTTTTTTTACGTCGGTTGAGCCTATTTTTGCACAAACTTCAACTGTTTTGTTATAGAAATTTCTTGAAGCTTATTTTTTATTTAACAACCAATAAAATTCAAGAAAATGTTTGAAATTGAAATGAGGTTTACTAAAAGGTCTTTGGTATATCCCTGTTAAATGTGGGCTCCAATTTTATGGGAAATGTAAGGGAGATAATTCGAACTAAAATTTAGTTGACTTGCCTCCTCTTGTTTTGTCGTAATGTAAATTGTTGTGTCCACTTTCCACAGTCTAGATGATCAACTAATTGATCTTCTGATCTAGCGCTAATAACTCTCAATGTAGGAAAAATGCCCTTTTTTTATATTGTTGCAGAAAATAATTGTAACTTACTGTGGGAATTCTTTTGCCAAGTCAGTCATGAATCTGTCAATGTCGCCCAAATGTACATCACATGTAGTACCAAAGGAAAGCAAGCATGGATAGTGGAATTAGTCATACGACTTCAAGTTCCAGGTTAACTCTGTGTTCATTTTCTCATTATGGGTCAAATAACAGGGTAGAATGGACTCTTTAGCCTTGGGTAGCAACCAGTCTAGGAGAAAGACAACTGAATTCAAAACAGAGAAGAAACCATTCTCATTATGTTTCCCAAGAAGTTATAGCAACACACAGATCAGAAAAGGAATCTGTGGAGAGCCATGATCTCTTCTGTCTTTAAGGGACATGATATTTGAAGAGAATGCTTTATTTTAACCAGCTAAAATTGTAAAAGTTGAATTTTTGTTTTTAATGGAAGTTAAGTTTGTTAACCAGAATTTGAATGTCAAAAAGAAAAAAATTCAGTGAAGCATTGAGTACAGATTTAAATAAGATAAGTAAACATTTGTTCTATTACTAAAATTTTAGTACAGGTATACCTTACCCTATGTCGTTAATTGGTTCCAGAGGTCACAACTTAGGTTGAAATAACCACACTATAAACCACAAATAAACACTCCTCATTGTATATTACAGTGTTTATAATATGTATGTACAGTATCCTGAATAAAATAATTTATCAACAATATAGTCTTACACTTAGCATTAATAATGAAAGAACGGTCTGCCAATTTTTTCCAATATAATCCAGTTTCGTTGGCGTTAAAAATCTGTTTGGGAAGAAAACTGTTTTCTTTGATAGTGCTTTAGAAAAATCAGCTACTGTTTGTTTGTCAGCTGATGCACTTTCACCTTTATGTATTTTAATGATTTTTATGTACTTTTATTCTTATTTATGGTACAATAACATGATTTTGTGCTTTTAACGGTTTTCTACTGACATTACGAATTCAATGTTTGTGGTGGACAGAGGTAAAGTCGAATAAAATGACTTAAACTTGGTGGGGGGGATCAAACAATGTATAATCACAGACAACTTGAAACAATGTAACTCGAGGTATACATATTTTATTATTGTCTTTGTGTGCATACACACATTGTAGGACAATATTATTAAGAAAATGTTAAAAATTAAGCTGAATTTTTTTCTTTCTTTTTTTGCAGCCATTTTAGCTGCTGGTGCTCCTGACCAAGTGCCCTTCATGGCGGATGAGAGCATGTTGGCGGCTCTTCCAGGGCGACCTAAAGCATACACCTTACCATATTTTCTAGATTACCTGGATGCTGTCAAAAATCTGGTGAAACAACTGAACAAAGGTAAGCAAGACATGTAACAGTTTGGAAAAGGAGAGAAAAAAAAATCCATTCTTCAATAAAATGGTAACCTTTTACTGTGAGTGGGGAAGTGATTGACAGTATGTTCCTTTTGAAAAAAAACTTATAATTGTATCAGGTTACTAGTTTGTTACAAGAGTCACCAGTTTGTAGTGATGAAGCAAACTGAAGTGGGTTAAAAATGTAACAACGATTTGGTTTATCTATGATTTGTTGTATACAGTGCTTTTAACCCTTCCCACTTAAATAGGAGTTGACATGCCGTTAAATCCAACATCCATCCATCCTTCCCACTTACTGTTATAATCAAATGACACTGTGACCTCCCAGCTTGTTTTAGTAGTAACTTAAATTTCTAAGTTTTGGTCTTCAGGTCTGGCACAAGACCTTGGTCAGGATGTCTTGGCAAACAATGTGGATTCCCCGTAGCAGTAGTGTGGGAATTCTCTACTAGTTGTCCAACCTTCTGTCTTATATGGAGTTCTGCGTCCAGCACAGGTGGTGTTGACTAGGGTCTAGGTTCAGTTGTCTTCTACCTTAAGCATTAACCTTTTGTAAAATTCCATATATAAAAATACATTTACTCAAGTATTTTTTCCAAATTTTGGGTTGTCTGTCCTCTTTTTGAGGGTGGTCAGAGGAATCAAGCTGCCCCTTAACTCCAATTTTCTTCACGTCTCACCTCACACCATCAAACCATGTAGGTGGTGTTTATCTCTCTCTCGCTCTTTTCCCCCCACTGTCTCAGCAGCTAACCTCAGCCTGCTCCTAGGGCTGGTATGACAAATCCAACTTCCAGATGGCATAGTGAAAACAAAAGGGATTTTCAGTCATTAATCTTTCTTTTATCAGCTTATTCCATGCTGTGATTTCTTGATCAACCAGACCACTTAAGAATTGGGAAATAAAATTGTTCCCATTCCTCTAGTGATAAAAACAACAGTTTATTTTTACTCTGTTTATGCATTTTTACAATAAACAGAGCACACAGACTTTTGTCCATGGTCACTCTAAAATAGTAATTAATTTTTCCTTTATCACAAAGGAATCCAAATTAATGTTTGGATATATAAAAATTTTTTCTGGACAAATGTCACAGAACTTATGACAAATGCACCAAGTTGGTCTGTCTATTTGGGTACACTTCTCTTTTGGTGGTTGAATCAAACCAGGTGTTTCTTATCCTGCCTTTTTTGTTTCAGAGCAATCTTTAAATGTTATTTTGGTGAGCACCCTGATCTCTATATCGACAACATGTTTTTATTTTATCTGACACCTTTGTGGATACCTTAATGGTCTCTTTGTCATTGTTGAGAAGGATCGGTAGGTCTTGGTTTTGCTGAATGTTATTGAATTCCGTTTGGTTAAATTTGGGTTTAATTTTCCTTAGTGTTATTTTAAAACATTTGTTTTAACCCATCTTGCTTTTAATTTTCTTAACTTTTCAGTCCCTCTTCCCGTAAATTTCAACATTTACCATCCAGTTAGTAGACTCTTACCTCTTCCTTCCTTTCTTTCTCTTTTCATTTGCTCAACTTCCGCAGATGTCAGTGTCACAATAGAACTTATAGTTACATCTGGCCCTTTCAATGAAGAATTGATGAGATCTTTCCACCAATCTAGTATTGTGCTTAAATTTCATAAAGTCTAGGTACCATAGTGGAGAGTTTCTAAACAATTAACATGAAAGCATTTATAGAAAAGGCAAAGGAAAGCAAATTTATGATGGTGTAAAAGTGACTGAAGCCGAGATGCCAGGTCAGGGCCAATAATATTGCTGATTTTTTGGATTTTATCATGAATCACTAAATAAATAGCAGGAGCACTGGACCAAATGTGGCAGCAATATTCTAAGCATGGGCAAATGGTAGACTTATATGTAACATAAATTCTGGCGAGAAAAACTGGAATATTTTTTTTTGTGTTATATATATATATATATATATATATATACACACACACAAACTCCTCCTAAACTGAACATCCAAGATGTTTGGTATTGGGAGTACTGTTTGGATTCTAAGGAGGAAAAGGCAGCTGTGGCAAGCTGAAAATTTTTATTAAGTTTTAGAGTTTAGGATACAAAAGATAGTTTGTAATTAATGTTGATTAGTTTTTATTTAAAGTGTAGATTGAATATATAAATGTACAAATATGCAAAAGATGTAATACATGTTACAAATTCATGTCGGTCGTCTTCGAGTATAGAATCCAGAGGTTAGCAGTGAATATTTCGGAGACAGTAGGAAAGCATAGTTTACGTTCGCAGTGGATATCGTAGCAGAGTGTAGTTCTTCCGTCTGTCATGTTCGCCTGACAAGTTGGGTCTGGTCATTCCGGTAGGGTAAACAAAGATGGCTGCCTTTATACACGACAGATACAATGTTCTGCGGTTTCTGATTGGTCAACCTTCTATTGGTAGACTATAAAGGGAATTAAGTCATTTTCACTAACTCACTAGTTACATAGTATATATACACAAAAAACTGTAACACCCCCCTTATTTTGAGTATATTATGGAATCTTTCTTCAAAATATTAGTAAAGTCAATAAATACTTTAATTCCAAAAATTTTTTTTTTTTTTTTTTTTTCATGGCCGCTATGGTATTGACAGAATGTATGGCCTCTTGGTAATTCTTTTTGGGATACATTGTAATTTAATAACAGCAATCAATGTCGCAGGTATTACATTGATTCATTTTAAAATAGTCTGGCTTTCTTCTATTTCTTGTCAGATAATGCGAATTTGCACCTGATTTTTTTTTTTTCGTCTAGCATCATCTGGTATAATACCTTCCTCTGATTGTGGACTTTGAAACGGTTTTCTACTTATAGGCCCGTAATTAGGCCATACTAGTTCGGGTTGGACTAGTTCCTCGCAATTAATATTCTCTTTTTTTTTTTTTTTTTTTTTTTTTTTTTTTGGTTCTCCCTCGCTCAAAGGAATCTGTATATCTGACGCATCTAATCTTCCTCATTGTTTTAGTTTGTGGAAAATAAATCATATAGGCTGGACTTGGCTTATCATATCCAATAAATATGCCGCTTTCACTTTTTGGATCTAGTTTCTACTTCTGTGGTTGACATATGAATAGCAAATTGTACCAAAAATATGCATATCGCTCACATTGGGCTTAAAGTTCGTATAAGCTTCGTAAGGAGTTTTTTTTAATGTTACTATTATAGCAGTGGTTTCTTTTATATATATATATATATATATATATATATATATATATATATATATATATATATATATACCGCTGTATTTAATGCATAAACCCACAGATTTTTGGGTAAGTTAGATTCTATTAACAAACATCCAGCCATTTCAAACAGTGTCCTCCAACTCCATTCTTATGTGGAGAATAAGAACAGGTTTTCTCATGTTTAATGCCTTCATTTATTAGGAGGTTTTTGTAAGCATCAGAAGTAAATTCTCCGCCATTATCTGTCCGAATTATTTTTAATTTTCCATGCGGGGAAATATCGGATAAATAGATTTTTGTAGCTTGCAGGGTATCCGATTTGTTTTTCAGAAAATATATCATAAGTCCTGAATATTCGTCAATAAAGTTTAATACATGATTTCATTCCAGTGACGTGTTCTTGCAGTCTTTTAACATCAGAATTATTGCAGTGGCCTAATATTTTATGCCAAGTTCTTAAGTCGTGCGTGGCTGTCTTCGCAGACTTAATACTTTTCAAATAATACAAACGTCCATTTTGCTGTATATTAAATTCAGTTCCGTCTGGATATTTTAAATTTAGGAATATATAAAGCCTTTTTTTTTTTTTTTTTTTTTTTTTTAATAAACATTTACAAATATTTCCTTTACTATTTTGTAGATAAACACAGGTGTCACCTCTTTTTAAAACTAAATTATTAACTCTGGTGCCGTCAGCTAACTCGATAAAATGTGAGTCGAGCTCAAAATTAGGGTAAAAAATTAATAAATTTTGTTTCATCTGTAATTACATGATTTGTTGCACCCGTATCGACCAGGTACGAATCATAACTACTGGCCACAGCACCCAATCCAAGCAAAAAGGCATATGCACGTCCATTCGAAGAAGTTTTTTTTTTTTTAATTTTTTTAATTTTTTTTTTTTTTTTTTATTTTTTTTTTTTTACTTATTTTTTTAAAAAATTTTTTTTACAAAAAGTCATTCCGTGTATAAAATTGACATTTCGCACGGACATGGCCGACATTATTACCACAACGAAAACAAACAACATTTCTTTTAGTGTTTCTTCCTCTATAATTCTTGTAATAATTGTCTTTAAAGCCCCTGTTCTGAATATCATAATTCCTAGTCTGATCGCTTTGAGGAACTGATTTTCTGAATTTTTAAATGACGTTCTCAGTTGCATTACGTTTTTGCCTCGATTTTGGGGGGTACACATTTAATATTTCTTCATAATTACGTAACGCAATTTTAAACTCAGTGAAAGTTAGTTGTTTATCTTTTTGAGTTATAACTGTCGTGAATGGTTTGAATGTCGGTGGTAAACCCTTTAAGACCATGGCTATTAGCAGCCCATCTGAGATAGTCTGTCCTGCTATATTAAGGCATTTGTGACATTCTCTGCTAGAATAATTGGTTACTGATTCATTTTCTTGTCTCTTTAACGCGGTTAGTTCAGTATATAAAGCAATAATTTTAGGCTTACCTTTTGACAAATAGTATTCACGCAAATTTTGTAAAGCTCGGCTTCCATTGTCCTTGGCCTCTCTTATTATTAAAGACAAACTACTGTCATTCAGGAATTGTATTAATTCAGCGAAACACGGTCACATTTCATAAAATCATCATCCCCCCCCCTCCTGGTTGACTTTTCAAAGGATGATGTCATGGAGTTATTGTATTCTGAGGTAGCCTAAAAACTTTGTCTCCCATAATTTATATCTCTATTCATTCCCGTCAAAATAAAATCGTGATCTGGGCTTCATAACCAATGTTACAAATTCATGACTGTCGTCTTCGAGTATAGAATCCAGAGGTTAGCAGTGAATATTTCGGAGACAGTAGGAAAGCGTAGTTTACGTTCGCAGTGGATATTGTAGCAGAGCGTAGTTCTTCCGTCTGTCATGTTCACCTGACAAGTTGGCTCTGGTCATTCCGGTAGGGTAAACAGATAGCCGCGTTTATACACGACGGATACAATGTTCTGCGGCTTCTGATTGGTTAACCTTCTATTGGTAGACTATAAAGGGAATTAAGTCATTTTCACTAACTCACTAGTTACATAGTGTATATACACAAAAAACTAACAATACAGACATATAGTAAGACCTGTTTTATGATTTATTTTTATGATATTGTGTATTGGGATATCTTTGAGCTTAATTTGTATTGCAGTGTGTATGATCAAAACCAAAATGGCAGCACCCATGAGAAATTGCCATTAGTGTCAATGGCAACTTCCCACTTTCCCCCAAAATAGCCCAGCCCAGCAAACCCAGCAAAATACAGCTGTGAAAATGTTAATTTCTGAACTCTTATTTTTTTTTTTAATTTTTTAGGGGGCACATTGGAATAATGGATGGCGGCTCGGGTTGAAGAAGTGGAGAGCCGAGTTCAAATTTCAGTCAAATCCTTTACATTCACTTGTGTGCTAATACCCTTGGGAAAGGTATGAATCCTTTTCTTTACCCCCCAGCTATGGGTAAATAGCAGGACAGACCAGGTTCTATAGCCTTGGATGGTAACTGGTCTACTGCAGAAATAAATGGCAACCTACTGCAGGAAAAAATCTGCCTTGTCAATCATGTGTATCATGTATGGCACATAACTAACTATTGGTTTTAGGCTGACAGTCATCAATCCAGTCATAAAATTTTATATCGACTTCAGTCTTATTGAAGAATATGCATTGACCTTTCTCTTGATGTTTGCATTATCCACTATGCTCTATAGAATTTTAATTTAATGATTAAGTTTGCTTGAAATTTTAAAGGAGAATTGTCTCTGTTGTAGATAATTGCAACTTGAGAGTACAAATTATTCAAACTTGTCCTAAAATGAATACCTTAGTTAGCAAATTTTGTAGTTGTGCTTTGATTGGTTAACTTTAGACCAATCAGCTTAGGAGGCATTTTGACTTGTGCTGAAAGGATTTAGCTCACCTCCACCCACTACTGGATAAGATTCATTGGCAATACTTAACCTTTGTGTCCGCAGATAAACAGGATGGTTTTACTGTTGTCCCCACTATTACTTTAAGCTACTGAGACACCCTTGGCAATATTTATTTACAAGATTATATAAATATGTGAACCAATTACAATGTGATATTTATTATTTATCATTTTATAAAGAAAATTTTTTCTTTAAAAAAATTATGAAATTTATCTTGTAAAAATTATAGTTAGATGGGAGAGTCCATTATACATAAAATATTGAGTTACTTTTCAATCACTCTCTGTATATAAATAATCATATTAACAAAAATAAAAATATTAATTTAATATCTATTTACATATCACCATATTTACAATGAATACAATATTGACAACGAAAACACACACACACACATATATATATATATATATATATATATATATATATATATATATATATATGTGTGAGTGATTATGGTGGCCCATAAGTCTTTTGTTTGTATTTGGGCCCCTGTGGGTGTTCATTGATATAGATGTCTCCTCCTGCCCAAATTTGACATTGATGTATCTAATTTTTTACACTTCCAATCGTCTTAAGAAATATTTTCATAAACCACATGGCTTACTTTATTTAAATAATTTCACACTTTTTCTGTAAGAATAAGTGTTTTGGGTGGATAATATTAATGTAAACAAACCTTTTGGGTTCTCAAGATTAAGAAATTTGGACAGTGTCTCCTTATCAGAGGAAAGATGCTAAGTTTGGTAATATGGTTTTGTTGAATATTAGTTATTTCTAGGTTTGGTTTTCTTTGGAACCGTTTTAAATTAATTGTATTGTTTAAAACGGAACTAAGTGAATAATTTTTTCTATCTTTCTCTCAACCATTCAGTCTATGCTTCTGATGGATGACCGGGTACTTTGGTATGCCAGGTACTTTAAGCTTGAATGTTTGTGTACTAAAATAGATAATGGATTGGAATGCAGTGTTTCCATTGCAGTTGTGGTTTGTTATATCCATTTATGCACAAATATTATTGGTAAAGAGGTATGAATTCACCTCTTCTCCACCTGGCTATGGGTTAATTAGTAGAACTTGTATCAGTAAATTGTTATCTGGAAAAATATTCTGAAAATGTAAAACTATTTTCTAGCTTTAAATATGGCAATGATAAGCAATTTTTTGTAATTTTCATTTTTTGTTTTAATCAGATTCTGGGGTTTCAAAAGACAGCATGTGGACACCGCACAAGGTTGAGTTAGCACTTTGGTCAAAATCAGTGACAGCTTCGCTTGGCATTAGTCTTGGAGTACAGCCTGCAGCTCCACCTGAGAAGAAGCGCAGAAGAGTAAATGTCGAAAGGAATAGTGTTCAGAACGGGACCAAAACAAGAGGGGAAAAAAAGTAAAATTTTTAATAACCACCCACTTCCAAAATCCTTGAGTCTTTCAGGCATAGTCATCTTTGTTCCATTTTGAACGTCTCAACTGTCTGTTTGCATTGTAGAAATAAGAGGGCAGAATTGAAACCTCTGTCCGTCAAGATCTATTTGGAAAAACACAAAAGTAATGTATGTTTTTATAGGTTAAAAACAGAAAAGCAACTTCATCAACGTCACTCTTATCGTGCTACCAGTGACCTGCAAATTGTTTTGGTGGCTGGTAGCCAGACGACATTAATTGCGCACGAAATGAAGGTTAGACATGGAAAACAAAATGACTAGAAAGAAAGTTATGGATTAAATATTGTGGAAGCAGATTCAATTTTGAAATGTAAAAATACTGAACAGAGGTGGTAAAGTTATTTAACAATGATATTACATTCTAATACCCAGAATGGGAAGATGGGAATAACCTGCCGTTTAGTGTAACAAAATTTATTGCTGGTCATTTTTTTTTTCTTTAACGGTCCTTTAACTGATCTCATAATTCCATCTTTGGGATAGTGTGTGTTCCATAGAAAATGTGCATGAGAAATAAAGACAATAGCTGCAGCCACAGTTGGAAGGTAAGTCTATTCACCTCCCTCTCCAGTGTGTACCAATGCAAGAAGGTTTTGCTTTGAATATATACCTAAAAATAGTAAGAAAAAAACTTTACATGTAAGATGGACTGGAATGGACTTCAAAGTTGAATTTTTCAATTGTTATTTTTATAATCAGTTAAAGGTGTGAGTGAGGAAGAAAAAATTAAAATGTAATTGAAGCAACTATATTTTGTAAAGCCTGAAACCACACTTTTGTACAAATGTAAATATGTAATAAAATTATAAAGGTAAAGTTTAGTTTCATTAATTATCTAATAAATATAGATATGTCTTTCATTTTGTATTTTTTATTTATTTTTTTTTTTTCCAATTTCAGGGAAAAAAAAATGTACAGGATTGATATTTGATAATAAAAATTTAAGAATGAATTATTCTTTTTTTTATTTTCAAAACATAATTGAGTTAGGAGTGAAAAGCTGCATGTGACAGTCATGTATGTGTGTAATTTTCAGGTAGGCAGCACTATACTATTACTGCTGCTAATATAAAGTTGTTTACATGCTTTTTTTTTTTTTTTTTCATATAATTTATTGTAAGAATGCAGGAGGTTATTTCCAAACTGCTTAAACTCAATAATTATACAATAGGTGAGTAATGATTGTAGCATACAACATTCTTGGCCAATGGTTAGATGAGTTAATCTATACCATGTATTTAAAAAAGAAACAAAAAAAACAAACAAGGAGGGTAAAAGTTAGATTAAACTCAGAATTTTATTGGTTAATAAATATATTGGGATATCTGGTTCATGTTGATTTTTGAGGGAAATTAAAAGAATAACATTAAATATTTATTCAGGTAGGTATAAATCAATTTGTTCCACATTTTTCTCTTATTACACACACACTTATATGTATTTATATTTTTGTTGCTTTACATTATTTCTGTTACACACACAAACACATTTTATATATATATATATATATATATAATGTGTGTGTGTGTGTCATTAGATTGAATCTAGCAAAAGTCAGGTGCGATGATGTCAGCTTAGAAAATCTGCACCGTTGCATCTGACTTAATAGATTCAACTAATCAAATGCAATCTACCAAAAGTCAGGTGCAATGTTGTCAGTCTAGAAAATCATTTTAATGCTGATTTTCTAGACCCAAACATGGGGGATTGAATTATGTTTCTCGATGTTTGTTATTCTTAAATTACTTTAAAAATTTATTTTTGGATTAAAACGTGGCAAAAGTAAAAATTGTGTTTGGTTAGAGTGACTCCATCAAAAGTCAGATGCAATGGCAACAGCCTAAAAAAAATTGTTTTTGGGCTTGAAAATACATTGGTTCACTGCTTTCTTTAAGCTGAATTATCACCTAATATCCCCTCAATAATCCAATATCTGGTTCTACAGACTTTATGGAATTTAGCAGCTTCAATTCATCCACTCCAAACATGTCAATTCCTAAAAGACTGTGGCTTTTAATGCCCCCCAATATCCTTTGTTATGACAGGGAAGATGTTGCAGGATAAAAATGAGACTTAAAAAATAAAATAATAAAAAAAAAATGCATTCAAAAGTTAGTGATTTTATTTTAAAATAAAAATATTACATGTAGACACCATCCCTCTTCCAACAGAGTCCAGGGATTATGTCTGAAAATAACGTATCAATTTATATTTTCTAAAATATTTCTTTTCATCTCTGAACTTCTTTTTCTGTATAAGCCGCCTAAAGAGGGAAAATATTTGTGCCTTACAAAATCATTGTAGCCAGATTCTAACACTTTCTTTTAACCTCCCACCTCTGGATATGATTAAAAAGTAGATAAGATTTATATATAGCAATTAAATAAAATCCTTGTGGCCAACTTTTATTGTTGATTGTAATTTTTGCAAATGGGTAAAAATGAAGCATAATATAAGATCTTAAGTAATTTGGGGGAAAAAAAAATTGGTTTATTATCCAACTAATGCCACAATTCCATTTCTATATTTTTTTATTTATTTTTTTTTTTTTTACTTTTTTTTTGAAGAATGCATGACTCCAAAGAATCTATTGTACCTCAACTGTCTGGTTTCAGAGATCTTGAACTGGCATCTTTGTATTCAGATATAAGCTAAGTTCCATGTGCAATAATGGATCTGAAATCTTTTTAAAGTCATCATAATTCTACATTTAAAGGAGATAAAAATATTAGTTTGCTATTTCAACTTTTCACATCATAAATGTTTGATTCATTTCAATTTTCTTTTTTTAAAGTTCAACTGATGTTTTAAAAATACAAAAAAAAAAAAAAAAATGATGTATTTAACCTTTTTTTTTTTTTTTTTTTTTTTTAATGTTTCCAACAGTAAATTACAAGAACTATGAAAGAAAGACACATTTAGAGACTGGATACTTGATGTGAAGTTTCTGACAAAACAGAACCTGCCTTTTAGCGGTCATTTAGAAGATGTATATAGTTCCAATAAAGGTAACTTTATAGAACTTTATATGATCCTGTTCTTGGAAAGCAGTACCTGAAAGAAGTAAATGATAACCGGCGGTACTTGTCACGGAAAATCTAAAATAAATTCATTCATATTTTGGGAAAACATGTAAAGCAAAATACATTGGGTCGAATTCAAAAAGCCAATTATTTTGCAGTTATACTAGATGGATGTCGGACATTTTTCATAGTGATCAGATGAGTTTCATTTTCGATTATGTTACTGAAGACAAAGAAATGGTGGTGCGGGAATCATTTCTTGGTTTTATCACTGAGCATGGGAAGACAGCTTATGATATCAAGATGATGATTTTGGAGTGGCTGGAGTAAAACTTTATTTCAAAAAATGTAGAGGGATAAGATTTAACAACGCAGAGATTATGGCTGGAGTTCATGGTGGTGTTCAATGTCTTCTATGAAACATAATTGGGAAAGCTAAATTTGAATCGTTCTAACCGTAGTATGAATTTATGCGGTGTTCATGCCTCGGCTGTGAGTACAAGTGCCATTACATTTTTCGGAGTGATTGAGAGACTCGATATATTTTTCTCCTCTTCCAATCACCAGTGGGTAGTTTTATCTTTGCATGAGAATGTCAGGATGAAGCGTTTGGTAACCACATGGAGTGCACGTTATGAAGCTATTCGTGCAATGAAAACTGGATTTCATGGAGTGATTCAGGCACTCGATTCAATAACCTCAGCTTCAGAAAATCTTCAAATAGGAGGGGATGCACAAATCATTTTACTTTCAATTGTAAACTTCTTCATATCACGTGTTTTATTGGGAAGAAATTCTGGGACAAATGAATCCTGCCCAAAAGAAACTTCAAGAACCTTGTATTGGTTTGGATGTGTGTGTGTGTAACCCACATGGATATAACCAAAACTTTTTTTTACTGAAACGGACAGGCTGGTGTCTGAATTGTTTAATCAAATTAAGACAAAGTGCGAGGAAATGGAAATTCCAATTGAAAAGCATATTAGAAGAAAGAGAAAGCTACTTAGGGGAAAAGAAAGATGATTTATGTCAAACACTTGTGCAGGAAGAAATCTTTATGAATGTCATGATCGACTTGTAAATTAACTAGAAGCATGATTTGACTCCATGTCACATCTGCAAACTGTCTTCACTGAATTATCATCGCAAACAATCCTGAAAGATACTGAAGGCAAGTTGGAGTGAAAATTTAAAATTTTCGGTAGCGAATACAGTGCTGACTTAGCTGCTTTTGGAAGTTCTCCGACTTTGGGATTTTTTTTAGCAGCAGCTTCCAAAGTGGAATATGACATAACCATGAATACCAAATCATCGGTTATCGGATAGCCAAAATGGATTTATCAATAACAAGTTCATGAAACAGTGCCAAATATTGTGATTGCTCTACGGCTGTTTCTGATGCTCACGATTCTGTTGCTATTGCAGAGAGAAGCTTCTCAAAACTGAAACTCATTAAACGTCACTTGAGATTGAGAATGGCACAAGATCGCTTATCCAATTTGTCCCTCATTTCAATTGAAACATGTGGACAAGGTAAACTTTGACCAAGTTATTAGTAACTTTGCTTCTACAAAAGCTTGAAATGTTAAAATATGATAATGTTTATTCAGTTAATTTTTGAATTTGTTGTTTTTCAAGTACTCATCAATGCCATTAAGGATATTTCATTTATATTTTTCCTCCAAAAAAAGTGGGCACCATTATGAATATGGGCCCTGGGTGGCACTTTGTCTCAGTACACCCCTGATACCACATGACTTTGAATTTGCTGCCCTAGCCAACTCGAAAAGTAAACTCACTTCTCTCAGTGCAGAAGAGCTTTTGAATACATTTCCTGGCGTTGGTAACTCATTGTCTACAGCTCTAGCTTCACCTACGGCCAAGCCTTCCACTTACATATCTCTTATTAATAATCAATGTAGTTTGTACTGTTGAATGGATGTTCTTGAAGACTTGGATAACATAATGCATATATTGATTGAAATCTGAGGTAACTGACTCTGTTAAAAAAAATTAAAATCTTAAAAATTAATTAACTCTTAATTAAAAATTATAACTTGTACAAGAAAAACATTTTTTTCCTTTCTAATTTTAAGGAAAAATCTTTAACTTTAGCACTTGCTAAAATTCTGCTATTTATTTTGATTGTTTTTTCTCTTTTATGAGTTTTTTCTCAAGTTCCAGCATACAATTAAACTGTTTGATTGCTATCCTGTTTACTGATTCTTTGCTACATCAGTTCTTTATTTATGAAATATATTAAGAAACAAATTATTCTTATTACATTCAAGCTAAGTATAATCACTTGAAAACCAAAATGAAACATATTTCATGATATTTATATATCATATTTATATAGTGTAGCAAGTTCAAAAAAAGGCAAGATAAATTTGTTCACGAGTTCCCCACCCCATATTTCCATCACATTCTTTCATCCCATTATTTTTCGAAGAAAGAAAAAAATATCATGTAATATTGATAATAAAAAATTAAACTTGTGATCTTTTTCTTTTTAATAGAGAAAATCCTTCCTTCTTTTTTTTTTTTTTGCATATATTCATACAGATCCAGAAAAACTTCAATCTTCTAAAATATCAAGTATATATATATATATATATATATATATATATATAAAAAAAAAAAAAGGCTAAAAATAATGGAAGGCTTATTAATAAAAACAAAAAAAACCCCAACACTTAATATTATTAACTTTGAACATGGACATAATATCTTGACCGTGTTTTGAAAAATGAAACCATTTTATAAAACATGCATACAACAAACTATTTCTAATTCAACAGTTAAAATATTTAATCCTTGAAAGTGTCTAAATGTATAGACGAAAGCACTCGGATTAAAAGAACATTTGGACAGTTTTTATATAATTTAGCATCTGAAAAGAAATTATTAGATTGCATGAGAAATTGTATAAAAAAACAGTTGCTGCCTAAATAAACAAATATATATATATATATATATATATATATATATATAACAAACAAACACTTGCTATTCTTTCAACAGAAGTAAAGGAAAATTGACTTTTTTGTTGACCCTGCAGCCCAGCCAAACTAATTAATACAAATCTAATTCAAATCTGTTTACTGAGTGCATAGAAACATGCAAATTCATTGGGGCCTAAGGTTGGTACAAATGTAGAAATAATGCTATGGTAAAAAAATGATGCCATAAATGACCTTGAATACTTATTGCAACTTGTTAATTGACATTTAAAAAAAAAAAAAAAAAAACATTCTGCAAACTTTTTTTTAACCAAGATAAAATTATTTTATCTTCAGAATCTTTTTTTAAAGACTATGGAGAAAAAAAAAATCAAATAAGACAGACATCCAAATATAACCTAAATATATATTCTTTGAATGGCGATAATTAGACATGTGGAATTCTTGTCTGAGTACCAACATTCCATATATGATATTTGAGCTGTTGTTTATTTTTATTCTGTAAAGTGGGAAAAAGTATAGCAAATAAGATTTTTTTAATAAAAAAAAAATAACAAACACTATATTGAGCATGTTATTACAGCATCAGCAGGAATGTTGCTATTATGTACTTGTCATTCGTTTTGAATTTTGAAATACTATTCCATATGTTAAAGGGACAAACTGAAGAATTAAGATAAAAAGGTAACAAAAAAAAAAAAAAGACAAATGAAAGGAAAATCAAGACATTCATACAGGAAAAAGAATAAAGGGTTTGATATACCCAGTTAATTCCGTGGCTGGAATAATTTTTTCTTCTATCTCCCTCTCATTTGTTTTCTCTTTCTTTATGCTCACCTTTGGTATGAAGAAAACAAAACTGCAAGTATGGAGTACTCTGTATGGACCAAACTCACTTCAGAGTAGTAATGGTCTGTTAGACTAGAACACTAAATATTAAATTGAAAATCTATTTGATTCATCTTCAAGTTTTCTTTCACTCAGATTCAGCTATGCTTTTTCTTAAGTGTAGCATGCCTCAGACTGTTATTTCATATTAACAGCACATTTTCATGGATTTTGCTTTCATCTGTAGTACTTTACAATGTGTTGTAGTGGAACACCTATTCTATAGTTAAGAGACTCTCCCACCTATAATAAGTAGGAGTAGTAGGAAGTCGCTCAGTGAGTTGGTCAGTCAGTCGATGCTGGACGACCGTTAGTCGGATACTAAAGTATCAGCGACCCCAACTAGATTTTTCTGCGTTATTACCTATTATGTCAAGTTCCTAATGTTTTGTACGTCGAACCTATTTTAGGACCGACTTAGTACAAATACAAGCCTCCACTGTGAAACCACTCCATAACACAATGTCAGTTTACTTAATAACGTCTCTTATCTACAAGTTTGTTTGAATGCTACAAATGACAACACTGCTATGATTGTTTATAATGATATAAACATATATGATATATAAACACTGCTATAATTTATTTACAATCCATACAGTTGTGCTTGGTATGAGGAGGGTGAGACTTAGATGCAAGAAAAGATGGTGTAGATATTATATGGGGCAAATCTTTGAAACAATGCCAAAATTAATATATTGCAGCTATCCACATCACAGAGAAATAATTATGCAGCCAGTTTCCATTTGGTTACAATGATATAAATATTGAAAACTTTAAATTCTAGTTGATGATTGAAAATTTAAGTATTTAGGCTTTTCTAGTTGCATAATTGATCTATATTTTACAAATAAATAAAGCACATAATATTTTCAAATTATAATAAATTTCCTGAATTCCAATAAATTTAATTATTGAATTAATTCAATATCTTATTACAGCAATTTAGAAGAATAAAATTATGGTCTAAGGGAAATAAATACGCTGATATAAAAAAAAACTTTCAAAATACATATAATCTTATTATAAAA